CACTGTTTATTAAACTCAGAGTCTCGAATTGTCAGGATAGCTTCAGTACTATAGTGCGCTGCTCAGATATGAGCAGCGCTTCACTCCCCAACCCTAATTAGCACCCGAAACACCCCCTGAGCCCCGAAACACCAAGCGCCACCCAAATACAGCCTCCTGGCGGCAGCGCCACCCTGAAACAGGCCTCTGAGGCCAGGCGCCACTCAGAGCATGAAGAAGAAGACCAGCGCCACAGTATCTGATGATGACGAAGTGTCGGGAGGCTTCCCAGGTGGAAGCCTGCAGCAGCGCCACCAAACCCTGACAAGATGACCTCTGAGATGAAGAAGCTGCAGCTATGGCTGCAGCACAAACCCTCTGGGACCCCACTCCGGAGGAGGGTCCAGCAGGGCACCAATCTCTCTCGCCTCCAGCAGACCTCGATAACCCAGACCTCTGTCAGCCCCTGCGTGCTGGCAGAGTACAACGCAGGTCCCAGCTATAGCCTGCACTTCGAAGGTCTGGCTATGCCCGTCTCCTTCCACGCTGAGCCGTCACCACTTCCGGTTCACGCGTAGCGCAGCAGCGATGTACACGGTACCAACCGCCCAAAGCCCTGAACCGATGTGCCCATCCTACTTCTAGCCTACAGCGACCTAGACCGGACTGGCTGACCGACCAGTACCGTATCTGTTTTGGCCTCTCGGCCTCTACCGGACCCGGCTATAGGCTATAGGTTGTCTATTCAGATTAGGCCCATAGGGCCTGTCTGTCTAGGGTAGCCCGGGCCTGCTATCCACAATTAGGGTAGCTGTAGGGAATCAGGTTAATATTGGGCCTGTATTTTCCCGGATTTGCAGATATGTCCCTCCAGAATTTCCCTCACAGGTAGGTCTCTCGGTTAGTCCTCAGCCAAACAAAATTACGAATTTGTCCTACCTATAGTACAGCCTCGACAGAGAGAGGCTACAGGCGACCAGAAAACAGCAAGTCATTGCAGACCTACCCTCCCCTGGAGCGAGGACCTCCGAGCTAGGGGCGTAGGCGTGCAGAGCGCCGAAGGGATACCCCCTTCTGTGCGGCCTCATATTTGAGGATGACAGACTCGGCGGTCTTCAGGAGTTCCTTGCGAGTAAACCAGCGGTCTTCAGTGTGTGGCTGGTACAAGAACTTCACAAGATACTCCTTATCTGGGCCTGTCCCTGACTCATCCTCCACAGATTCGACCTCATACCCTTTGCCAAGGACAGGGGGACCAAATTGAGGAGGCCTGTTTGGGGATGCATCAACTGACGTAAATGGCAACAGCTTAGATGCATGAAAGACAGGGTAGGTTTGTAGATGCAGAGGGACGTCCACATTGTAGGACGGTCCAAATGGATCAGCTCCCACTGTTTCTAAGACCTGCCATAGACCCATGTATTGTGGCAGCAGCTTAGGCGAAATATCCTCCTCTCGCGACAACTCAGAACTGAGTACCCACACCCAGTCACCTGTGCGAATAGTAAAAGGACGTCTGTGCTTATTAGCCTGCTGAATCATTGCCTTTTGGGCTTTCAGCAGGTTAGCACGGGCGCGCTCAATATCCACACGGTAACGTCTGGTGAACTCTGCAGTCCCAGGCGTCAGCGTAGGGGTAGCCTTGTCGATGATGTCATAGAGAAGCTGCCGTGGCTCACGTCCCCAGTGTAACCGATAGGGTGTGAGCCCAGTAGAGGAGTGTACAGACGTGTTATACACAAGTTGTGCACGACTTAGATGGAGATCCCAGTCCTGGTGATCTGGACTGATCACCGGACGCAGCAATTGGAACAGAATCTGGTTCATCACTTCAGCCTGACCATTGGCTTCAGGATGACGACCAGATGCCATATCCAATCTGGAATGAAGGTAATCCCTGCAGTAGGATTGCCATTCATTGCTGCAAAACCGGGGATCTTTGTCACTGACAATAGAGGTGGGTGGTCCATGATGTGTGACCCACCTGTCAGCAAAAGCCGCCTGAACGGCTGGCACACGAGCCTCAGCTGGTAAGGGGATGAACTCTGCATATTTGGAGAATCGATCCACACATACCATGACCTGACGCATACCTCGTGGTGTAGTCCTACCCAAGTCAGTGAAATCAATCGATACTGACGGCGCAGGAGCATCAAGAATAGGTAGGGGTTTGAGTAGGCCAAGAGGAGGTCAACGTACAACCTTGTTCCCTTGGCATAACTCACAGGTTTCCACATAGTGCAGCATGTCACTCCTCATCTCCTTCTAGAAGAAGCGCTGCGACAGGGCTGCATAAGATTTGAGGGCACCAAAGTGACCACGAGCATCATGACACTCTGACATCAGAAGTGTCCTCAGCTTGCGATCCTGGGGAATGCACAGGCGCTCCTCCCCTCTGCTGCATGTGGACAGCAGTCCTGAGACCAGAGTATATCCTGGTTCAGAGGCAGGATTGTCCTGGAGATTCCTCACAATAGGCCCAAAGATCTCATCCTGGGGCAGCAGCTGGGCAATGGTCTGACGTGTCCTCTCTCCAAATGAGTGGGTAAAGGAGATCAGGAACAGAGCGTCAGGCCTACGAGAAAGGGCATCTGCTACTCTATTGTAGCAGCCCTTCTTGTGTCTCAGTTCAAAGTCAAACATGTCTATGAACTGGATGTAGCAAGCAAGCTTGTCATTCAGCTCTCCCTGGGACTTCATCCACTGAAGGGTGGAATGATATGAAAAGATCTTGAAGTGCCTGCCCAGGAGAAAGAGTGTCCAATGCTTGAGCGCTGACACAAGAGCGTACAACTCTTTCTCATAGGTAGAGTCCTGCAGCTTCTTGGTCTTGATCTTCTTGCTCATGTACTCAATGGGCTGCAGACCATTCCCATCATCCTGCTGAAGTACCGCTCCTACCCCATACTGACTAGCATCAGTAGTAAGTACAAAAGGCAGGGTAGGGTCAGGTAACTTCAGAAGAGGGGCACGAATCAAGGCCTCCTTGAGACGTGTAAAGGCCTCCTGGCATTCTGAGGTCCAAAGAAAGGAAGTGTCTTTCTTTGTGAGATCAGTCAATGGCGCCGCAATCGCAGAGAAGTTCTTGATAAACTTCCTGTAGTAGGATGCAAGCCCCAAGAATGACCGGACATCACGAATGTTAGCAGGTCGCGGCCAGTCCTGAACTGCAACAACTTTCGTTGCTTCAGGAGCCAACCCCTCTCCAGAAATCACGTGCCCCAGATAGATTACAGAGGGAACCCCAAAAGAGGACTTCTCCCTGTTGATCTTATACTGGTTAGCACGTAGGGCCTGGAGGACCAGAGCCAGATGCTGCGCATGCTCCTAGACAGAGCGACTGAATACCAAGATGTCATCAAGGTAGACAACTACGAACTTGTCCAGGTAAGGCCTCAATATGCGGTGCATCTCTGTTTGGAAGGTGCCTGGCGCATTGCAAAGACCGAATGGCATAACCAGGTATTCATAAGTTCCATACCTGGTTTTGAAGGCTGTCTTGTCTGGTGGTAGCCAGATTTGAGCTCGATCTTGCTGAAAATGGTACAGCCCTGCACCATGTCCAACAGGTCATCAATACGAGGAAGAGGCTCTGTAGACTTCCTCGTGATCTTGTTGAGACCACGGTAATCCACACACATCCTGAACTCACCATTCCCCTTGGGACAAAGAGGACTGGTGCCCCAAACTCAGATGTGCTGGGTCTGATCCAACCCTTGCTGGTCAGGGTCTCTAACTGTTTCCTGAGCTCTTCAAGTTCAGCAGGAGACATCCTGTAGACCCGGCCCTTGGGCGGGACCGAGCCAGGCAGGATCTCAATCTTATGTTTGGTCTGCCTATGGACAAGTCCAATAGGCTCCTCCATAAGATCTGAGAAACTGTCCACAACCTGCTGAATCTGAGAGGGACAGGGAGCAGTCTCCACGTCAGTCTGTTTGATATAAGCCACAAACAGACGGGCGTGGTCAGTCTGGCGTGAGAACCGCAAAAACTTGCGAGCACTCGTGCAATAGCAACTGCTGGCTGGATGGTACTCGTCAGCGAGCATGCAAGGGCGATATACTCCATGCCGGTCAGGCAGCTCAACCCTAGGGATCTACCAGTCGATCCTAGGATTGGTGGCACTCAGCCACGACATAGAGAAGACAAGGTCAAAGGGAACATTAGGAAACACATAGAAGTTCAGGTGGTGCCTGACTTCTCCCTGCTTGTCAAAGGACACGGGTAGGCCCTTGACAGCAGTGGTAATCCGGACTATGGAGGAGTCCCCAATGCGGACCTCCAAAGGCTGTCGCAATTTCACCAACCTCTGGTCCAAGTGCAGCTTGTTGACTGCCTTGGGAGAGATGAAGTTGCGAGTAGCCCCACAGTCTAAGAGCCCTTTGATCTTGGCTCCCAGGATGTAGGGTCGAAGCAGGATGAGTTCAGACTTATGCTTTTTCTTCTCCTGCAAGGACAGGAAAAGATCAGCAATGGTCTGAGCATCGTCCTCCTCCCACGTCTCATCCAACTCAGAGTCTTCGAAAGTGAAAGACCCTGATGAGGCAACTCCAGAAATAGAGGAACCAGCGAGAGAATGTGAAGATTCACCTCCATCAGAGAGTGAATCAGCACTGGTGGAAGGAGTTGCTGCTTCCACCTCTCTCTGCTCTAGTTTTTTGAACTAGAGCTGCCTGTAGACCTGTGAGGCATGCTGGGACAGTCCTTGAGAAAGTGGTCCCCCTCGCATCTCAGGCAGACCCCCTTATCCTTCCTCTTCCTCCAAACCCCCTCCTAGATCCTGAGTGCATGCCAGGGGAAGGTGGAAGGATCAAGTGGGTCAGCTGGCCAGCAGACGTCTTGTGGTAAAGGCACTCTCTGGGCACCAGGGGAAGAGGCACCTCCCTTCCCTTTCCCCTGTCTACTGGTTGATGCTTTCTGGGCTGGGGCCTTGCCCTTTGTCAAGCACATCAAAGCATCAGCCAGGGCAAGAACAACAGAATCTGCAGCAGATGATGATGCAGTCCCAGGTGGAGGGCTCCCACCCTGGGATGCTGCGTCACTATCTGATCCGGATGCTGCAGCAGCAAACAGGGCACCCTTTCTCCTTCTTCGCCCTTTGGAGGAGGGTCCCTTCCTTCCTTCAGAAGGTGCTTCTTGGATATGGAGTTTGGACTCCAAGTCCAGGGCTGCTCTTCCAAAGGACCGCCAGTCCTTGTGGCCCTGAGAGAAAAGAGCAAGTTGGAATTGCTCAGGCGCTGCCCTTAGGAACAGAATGAGCAGATCTTGCTCACTCATCTCCAACCCAGGAGTCGATGTCAGACTCTCAAAGGTGGAATACAGTTTGGACAAGGATCCATCAAACTTCTTCTGGCCCAGGCGCACAATTTTGTCTGCTGCCTTTCTGGCCTGCTCCTTGTCTGCAAACCGGTCCTGCAGGGCCTGCAGAAATCCAGCCACCCCCAGCCTCTACGCCCAATCAGCCATCTCCATACCTTGCTTGCTGGAGGTAGAGGTGCACCATTTCAGTGCTGATCACTCCAAGCGAGCAAGGATGGCTGACACCTTCACATCCTCATCACATTTGAACCCACTCAGGTAGGTCCTCTGTGCAGCAACCCAGTCTGCCACATCCGCCTTTGGGTCCTCACCTGAGAACATGGGTGGCGGTGTCAGCTTAGGCCGCTGAAACTCAAATGGTGATGGGGGCTGTGAAGCTGCTGTTGATCTGGGTGTAAGAGGTGGAGATGTCGGTCTGGATTGTGGGGTCTTTTGGGGGTCTGCTACAGAAGGGCCAGGAGGTGGAGGAACAGTCTGAACAGGTGCAATCTGCAGATGTGTCGCGATACGGTTCAACTGGGCAGAGATGTCATCCAGCTTTTAGACAAAGTTGAATGACTGGTCTCCAAACTAGAGATCCGGTCATCCCAATTAGTGAAGTAGGATCGGTGAATATCATCCTGTAAAAGGATGAATTCCGCCATGTCCTTACTTACCTGACTGGTAGAACCACTGCCCATGATCTTTTGCATGTCTGCAATCAAGATCTTTCTCCTGGCCTCTTTCTGAGCAGCCTCTTCTTTCTTCTTGAGCTCTGCCTTTAGATTCTCAACTGCCTGGGCCTGCAAGCGGAGTTTCTCCTCTTGGGCCCGCAGTTCAGCCTCTAAAGGGTCAGGCGGCACAGGTGGTGCAGACTGCACTTTCATTTCAAGCTTTACCTGGGGTGTCTCCCCAGAACTTTCAACTCCCTCAGGCACCACTGCCTTCCCTGAGTCCGCCATTTTGCTCCCCCAACAATGCAGATAAAGTAAAAACAAACAAACACTGAAGACAGAGCAGGAGGTAACAGGAATTGAATGTTCTCTGCAGTACTACTTCAATTGCTGTCACCTGCCTGGAGAGAGAAGATTGGTTAATCTGAGCAAGTGAGTGCTCAGTCTCCACAGACCGCTTGAGGGTCAGGTCAGTTCAGAGTCCACTCAGTCAAAAACCATTTTCACGATTTTTCCATCCCTGCCCTGACACAACAATTGCATGCTATAATTGCAAATCCTGACTCGACAACTGACAGGATGCAGTCTTGGACTAATTAGTATTGATTAGCAATCAGATAGAGTGACTAATTAGGGTTAGACAGGTCTCCACTAAGGACCAAGATGCAGCGATTTACAAGGTATCCTATTTTTAAACTTACCCTACTGACCTCAACACTGTATGACCCTGTATGCCATACCCTGGGTATGGCGAATTACAGGTTTCACTGTAACTGACTCAAATCATCAAATCTGGGTATGCGATTTCAGACACTGCTAGACTACTGAATTGCGATTTACCAGGGACTGACAGAACTGAATTCTGACGGGCAGAATCAAAGTTATGACTGACCCTAGTCTATCCTAGCTTTGGCTATGTCAGCGCAGAATTCAATTTTGCATTACTACTGACAACAGAGATGAAATATGAGCCAGAGGGAAGGTCAAACAGGGTTAGTAGAAGTCAAAGAAGATAGGTAGGGGAAGTTGGATATGGCTGTCCCACAGTCTGAATTTCGATTTTCAACTGTCACCTGACAGACAAACCAATTTTCACTGTTCAAAAAATAGCCCCAGAATCGCCACACAGGATGGAGTAAGGAACACACTTACTAGAGGGTCAACTCTGAAGAAGATGTACGAAACTCTGGCTATGGCTGACTGATCAACCCCATCTCGCCAGTTTCATCTCCTGACCGTTTACAATGTTCCCACGTACCAAATTGCCTCAAACTTGGTGATCCTGTAGATTTTCCTGAGGCACTTCACCTACAACTGACAGATTCAAAGAATTTAGACTCCCAGGTGCCAATAACTGACAAAGTCAGTGCAGCGCCACATCACCCTGTACTGCGCTGTATGGAAATTGGGGATCTTGACCCAATTCCAGAATCGCAACCTCCTGGGATCACTTCCCTCACAATCGCCAACCTCCAGGTGAATCGCCAGGCTATAATTAGCCTCTCAGAGCCTCCCAGGCCTCTGAGTATCAATCGCCAGCCACTCCTGCACAATCCCAGTCAGGAGTGAATCACCTTCTGCTTGTTGCTTCTCGCCACACACTCACCACCATCACCCTCACTGACAACAACCCTGAAGATGATGAATCGCCATGAAACTCAACTCCAGTATCTCGCCAGATGATGATGGGTGCTCCAACTCATCAATCGCTCCAGAGTTTGGATCCAATTGCTCCGATACCAACTGTTATGATTCTGGTTGTTCGTTGCCTGAAGGTCAACACTCACTCACATAGACTTTTGCACATGCCCATACATAGACAGAAGGAAGGGAAGAGGATAGGAGTATCACATTGCACAGGGATAGATGAACACAGCGGAAGACTTGACCATGCGATATGACAGGGTACACTGAAAGTGCAATTCACTCCATTCAATCCTCACAACCAGTCATAGAGAA